CTTTGAGAGAAGTCAGATACAGCAGACTTCCTATAATCCAGCACCTTTGGGAACCAGGGGGTGCCGGATTATCAGATATGCCCGAGTATCAGGAGGTACTGTGGCAGGGGGGCTGTGATGGGTCTGTGGGGGGCGGTCAGGTGGGAAACGGTGCAGTGTGGGGCCAACCCAGCAGCACCCCAACCCAGCAGCTGTGGGGCCAACCTGAGGCTCGTCAGTTTCCAGACTTCCTATAATCCAGCACCTTTGGGAACCAGGGGGTGCCGGATTATCAGATATGCCCGAGTATCAGGAGGTACTGTGGCAGGGGGGCTGTGATGGGTCTGTGGGGGGCGGTCAGGTGGGAAACGGTGCAGTGTGGGGCCAACCCAGCAGCACCCCAACCCAGCAGCTGTGGGGCCAACCTGAGGCTCGTCAGTTTCCCAACCCGGCAGCATCCCAGCTGCTCTGCCCTAGGGCTTCCCCAAGTCTGCCGCTGGTCAGTTTCAGTCCCGGCCAGACGCAGTGTGGTCTGGGAGACCCGTCACAGGGGCATAATCCCCTTCCTCTCCCCTCCCCTTCCCTTTCCCGGCCCATGAGTGCGCATGGAGCTCACAGAAGCTCCAATTGTCTGTCTGGCTGGAGCACTTCCTGGTTCCAGTTGGTGCCAGACTATCAGGAGTGATGGACCACTGGATGCCGGATAATTGGAGTTTTATTGTATGGGTGAGAATCCGATTCAAACTAATTGGCAACTTTTAAAGACCAATCCAATGAATCAGAAGATGTTGACTATTTTAACTGCAGTCCCTTGAAATAATTTAGGATACAGTTTTTCAGCTGCAGAACTTTCAGAGGAATTTCATTGACACCTGTTGTCCTACCTCCTTTAAAAAAAAAACCCACCTGTGGCTTTTTTTTTTCTTCTGTTAAGTGAAGTAAAATAGAAGGAGGTTGGCCTCAAAACAGGAATAGGGAACAAGGGAGTAAAGTGTAGGAAGGAGCCATGTATTGAACAGGCATCCAACCCAGCTCCATTCACCCTTGGAGGTTACAAGCTTTCCTAGGATTTTCTTTCAAATAGGCTGCTGAATGTGTAATACTGAAAGTTCTCATCTTTCTTCTAGACCTGTGTGAAAAGTTTCTGGCACGTGGAGTTGGCTCAATTTTGGTTGAACATTTCATAAGAGAAAGGTAAAAAAATTAGCTGTAACAATAAATCAATTTAGCAAACCCTATTCAGTGTAGGAGAGGAAAGATACTTTTACTTTATACATTTAAGAACAATTCTGTAGTATTTTTCAGCTACTGTGTTTGTTCCTCATGTCTTTTGTGAAATTAACCACATAGTTGCAAAAGTAGCACTAAAGTGACCTATAGTATTTATGGGGGGAGGGGCGGGGTTCAGACAACAAGCATTAGTCAAATTCCTCTGAAAGGTCTGCATCTGAAAAACTGTATCCTAAACTATTTAAAGGAACTGCAGTTTGAATGTTTCAGGGGAGTTGCTCAATGAGCTTCTCCTCTCTGTGTATGTTTGCAGTGGTTGTGAATGGTATTTAGTTAATCTCTTAAAACTAAAGCCCTCAGCTTATGCCAGTAACTAACAACCTATACAGCATAGTGTTGCTCTTCGATGTCTCCATTTTTTTCTGTGGGAGTGGCTGGACAATTGCTCCTCTCAATATATAGAATTCTATTCCTGTTCATAGCTAGGTGCTACCATGGTGATATTAGTGCTGTGGCATCTTTAGAAGGTGAATGACGCTATCTCCATTTCATCAGACCTCGAATTACTTTCCCCTGAGGCTTGTTAAACATTGAAGTTAAGAGAAGAGCTAACTGGCTGAAACTTATGACAGAAGAAATGTGAAACAATAGCTACAGAAAATATCCATTCACTTATTTGCCTACTTTTTATTCCACAGGTTTGCAGGCTAGCGGGGAGGGGATTTGGGGAATAGCCACATCATCCCTGAAAAGAGTTTTTTCCTCATCTGTACTTGGCAAGAAAATTGCTGTGTTTCCTATGAGATGCAAACCTTGGCAAAGTTGTCCCTGTCATATCCAGATTTTATTTGATTAAATTGATTATATTGTATTGTATTTAACTTTTAGGAGACATTTGAAAACCTCTTTGAAGCTTAGTTGGAACAGAAGGCAGCTGCTTGCCTACTTAGCTGTGTTTTGGGAGGGAAACACATTACACATGTGCTCCAATGACAATTACTACTTGTCTCATCATTTGCTTCCAAGTGTGATGAATTGTATTGATTCTGATGTATCAAGTCCTTTATGTTTTGTGATTTAGAGATTGTTTCTCTCCTCGTGTTTTACTCTGATACTTGAGCTCAACTAAGGATGCTTAAGCACATGTTTGCCAAGAGATAAGTTAGTCCTCCTCTCAGATCTCATAGTTACCCTCTTGCCCCTGGTGATCCCACAGAACCCAAATTTGTTGACTTTTAGACCACATTGCAATTTTTTTCCCCAAGCTGCTTTCCAGGTTCAGATGAAGCAAGGTGCACTTGAATAGGGCCCCATCTCTAACTGGATTGACATTGCAGCCATGCAGATTTGGCCCATATGGGATGGGCAGCCAAGCCAAACTTGAATGAGTTAAGTTGCAACCTGGGTGGGTGGCTGTGGGATAGGCTTTGTGGGAGTAATATGGAGCACTAGGATGTTCAGGGTGAGGGGAAATATAGGAGGCTCTGGCTGGTGGGGGTGAGGTGATAGGAACTGCAATGAGTGGAATGTACAAGAGAGCTACATTGTTTAAGATATCTCATTCAAAGCTGACATAACTGCTGGTGACTACCTTTCAATAGGTGTAAGTTACATCACTGCAGACCTCCCACCATCTCTCTTCCCTACCCCCATCCACTGCTATAGGGTATAAAGACTGAGCTCTCTGATGGTCCTAGTCGTAAGGGATTTCACCCTTTTGTATTAATATTCAGTGCTCCACTATAACTTAAGCCCTGGATAATTCAAGACTTCTTTGTACCATTTGAGTCACCCATGCTGAAAACCTTTGCCCTCTGAGAAACTAATTTAAATTTTGCCCTTTTAGTCGCCAGCTCAAATGAGTTCTAATCAGTTTCATTCTCCTGTGACTGAAAACATTTAAATCAAAGAAAAAAATGCAGTGGGAAAGTCATATGTCACAGTTTAAAATTAAAATCTATTTCAGTTAAGTCTATATATCTCTTGTTACACTTAGAAAATGTTAAGGATTGCTCTTCTCTTCCAGATTTGTAAATCTCTTGATCTCCAAAGGCTTACCATTTGCTTATAAATGTATGCAACTTCTTTGATCTGCTGCTTTACTGGCTTTACTTAAAAACTAATAGTTTCTTTTATCTGTCATTTTCACTGAGTTTCATCTTCACAAAGATGGTTTAAATCTAAATGATTTGGATTGGTTTTTATTAGAAAATTTATTATTAAAAACATACAAGTCTGAGTTTTGCTCTCAGGATATGACAGCAGAGGTACTACATGCAACCTACAGGAGAATGTTTAAAATTAATACAGGAAAAACAGCTTGGTAAAATGTATAGATCCAAGGCAGCCCTAAATGGATATAAAAGGTGTGTGGAATTGCTCACAGAAGGGTCAAGTATTTTACATACCAGGAGTAGCTGTGGGCTTAGGCTACATGAGGCATGTTCAAATTATCAAATTTAGTGAGTAAAAAAATCAAACTATAAAAAGGGAATTTAAATGATTTTCCCTTTAGAAAACCCATTCTTTAAACCTGTGTGCTAACAATGGAATTTTTGTAAAAAGAAACCAAAATGGCTTTCTTTGAATCTAAACATTAAATGTAATCAATTTAAAAGATAAGCTTTTGAAACATCTTAATCACCAATGGCCAGTGTTTGGTGACTATGCCTGCATTTTCATTGCTTATAGAGAGGACAGTAATAATCATGTTCAGAGTTGCTAGGCATCCCACTGGTAAAACAGCACATCTGCACTCTCATGTCTATACTAAGGGTTTCATCAACAGCCAATTAAAGTCAATGGAAAGACTCCAGCTGACTGCAGCAGGCTTTGTATCAGGTTTAAGAAATTCATTATCAGGAAAGCTGAGGGAAGAATCATTTAAGTGTGTGTCACTGTAATTGGGCACCCACCAAAAATATAGTTAATGGGTTATATGCAGAGTAAAAAATTGAGATGTCTAATTGCTGACAGCTAATTATTAACAGTCTAGCTAAAAAAATCACATTCTAGTCAGGTTGCCAATATGAGATGTTCTTCAGCATAACTCTCAGTATGTGATAAACGAATAAACTTAAGAGGTCCCTCTCTATTAGTTTCTATTTACGTTTTGGTGGGCTAGAATGCATGGTGCTTGAAAGTGCTAATAAGATTTTCTCTCAGAATGATTTGAACAGAGGAAATTAACATGAGCTTGAATTTTTAAAGATACCTCAATGAAGGGAAAATCAATGGAAACTGAGAGCCGTCTTCTCAAGCTCTCTTGAAAACCACATCTTTAAATAATTCTGATTAGTTGTGTTGGTTTTTAAAAAATGGAAAAACAATTTTACCAAGGAATTCAGTGTCTTTTCCCATTTCTTTCTTTAAGCTGGCCCATTTTTCATGAATTTCTTACTTTACCCATGTTTTTATTTTTAATTTTTAAAAAAATTCTTTACCAAAAACCTGGTTTTCAGTGGAAATGGAATTTGCAGTCAATGAAAAAAAGGATGGATTTCAAAAAATTGAATAAAAATCACAATTTTGCAAAAATTAGAAATTGTAAATAATAACAGTTTTGAGAAGAGTTTCATTTTGGATAAAAGGCAATTTTTCAATGAAAAATATATTTGTATGAGAAGCCAATCAGCGTTATTGACAAAAGCACATTGTCCAATGTTTGTGTGGAAATACAGTTGTCATTTGGAATTCTCTGTTGTAGTAAGACAGACAAAAACAGCCCCACCATGAACCTGAGTAGTTTTCCTATGGTCTATAACTCCCTCTGTATTTATGAATACTTTCAGTGCTGCTTAAGCAGAGCAGAGGCAAGACGAGATGCTGCAAAAGTGGCTCTGATCAACTCTCTGTTCAATGAATTGCCTTGTCGCAAGATCACAAAGGAGTTCATTATGGAAAGTGTTCAAGAAGCGGTTTCCTCAACCAGTGTAAGTACCAAACTGTTTCTTGACTTGTCAGCTATCCTGACAGGCCCTTAAAAATCAGTTACAGGCTATCAAACTCAGGGAGTTTAATTTGCTTATGTAATCTCTTGGAAACTCTTGTTTTAGAGGTAATTCTAATGATGGTGTGTCACTATCTAGTCAGAAGGCCAGAGATTTAAATTGTCAGTAATGCCTGTTAGCCAGGTTGCAGACACTGCTACTATCACCTTAAAGGAGTCACTAGAGTTACTCCTACTATTGTCATTGGACAACTAGTAATGTATTGATTTCCCCAAAGATATTCTGATGTAGCATATGAAAGTGTTATTCAGATCTGAACAGATCCTGAACAGAGTGGCATGATGGGATGGGTATGTAAAGTGATGACGCAAATAATTTCGTTCACACTGGCAGTCGTCTTCATTTTCTTATCTGTTTGTCTGGACAAAGTACTATTTATTGACTTCTGAATGTTTTCCCCCAAGATTTTTTATAAAAGTTATTTTAATCTCCCCAAATTTCCAAATGAAAATAATTTTAGCCTGAGTTACAAAATATAGTCTCTCCTCCCACCCCCCACCCCCCAAAAGAGTTTCTAAATGTATGTGAAATTGATCTCTATTCTTTTTCTCATATGACTAAATGGGATCAACATTGGATAATGTGGCTCACAAAAGATGTTTTACCACAGTCTTGGCCAGTATGTTGAGTGGTGTATCCTGCACTATGCTAGGCCATTTAGACATGTTTCAGGAAATCCTGAAATATAAGATAGAATCAAGCCTATAAGTTACAGATAATGGAAAGCTGGAAACTCTAACATGTCCCTTTTGTCATATTTGGATTTGTCTCATACCTGTGTGAATCATCGTCTTACAAAGCCAGTTTCAGCTCTTGGGTATTTCGGTATAAATCCAACATAGTTCTACAGACATCATTGAGATGCTCTTGGTTTACACTGATGTAACAAAGAGCTGATTCTGGCTCTGTAAGATGATTTGAAAAGTCTCTGGAGTCGAATTCTGCCATTTTCAAAGACAATATATACATTTATGTAATTAATTACAGCATTATGAGTAAAAGCAGCAAAAACCCCTGGGCTAACAGTGCAGAAAGTTAGTCTAAATCCTTAATTTATTTAAATGCATCTCTATGTTTATTCCTTAACCTTATCATGACACTGGTGGAGAAATGAGTGAGGGAAGGAACTTGCGTCATTAAATACCAAACCTGAATCAATCACAGTAGAGGGAACTGAGCCCCAACATTTATACTTGTCAGTTGTGGGAAGGTCCAGCAAAGATCAACTCTCTACTGTTAAAGTTTAAAATCAAGAACGCATTCTGATAACCAAAGACTAAATTTCTTTCAAGATTATTATTAAGATTTATTCTATTGTACTTCTGTGGGGCCCCAGTCAAGGTCAGAGCCCACTCCAGATAAGCATGGCACACCCGGTGAGGGGAGGGGCAAGGGAGGGGGAATGATTCCTGCCCTAGAGAGTTCATACTCTAAGACCAAGGAGAGTGATGTTTAGGAGATTCCACTGGAGCTCTGCTGCTGAATGGCAACAGAGGATCACACCCTAAGTGTGAGGGGAAATTGGAAGGGGGGGGGTCAGTTTAATTTTTAATTATCTAACCAAGTATAAAATTTGGGAATATTTGTGTTGTGCACTGATTTCAGGTACAATTTCCACCAGCCAGAGATGGGTACATTTCAATAGTGGGTGACGTTTCTATTTTATGTTTATCTATTGATATGATTCAGATATAAATATAGATGGGTTGCAATTATATATGCCTGATATAAATGTAAACTTAATTATACCTCAAAAATGTGTCAACGTATTTATTTAACAAGTAACAGATAAGCTAAGCTTCCGTAACCCCAACCGTATTATTGAGTTAATGGAAGCTAACTATTCCCAGCACCTTCAAGGAGTGGGTCCTAATAGTTCTAATGAATTCTTGAGATATTTTGAAACCGTGTTTGAGGACTTTCTTTCACTGTTCTCTCAATTAGTGGAAGACATAGGACCAAATCCTCTGCATTGCTTTGAAAAGATTAACTTTCTTTTCTTCTTAAATTATCACACAAGTAAAAATAAGTGGGAAACCATAATTCCATTGTAAGTTTTTCTAAATAGTTCTAAGGAACAATTTCTCTTTGTATCCATACTAATTCCCAACAACTCTGGTTTGGCAGATCTGCTTGCCCTCTGACTGACAAATAAATCATTAGGGACTGGGGTTTTTCCCCACTACTGTCATGGCAAACATTGGCCAAGCAGAATCTGGAATTAAATAGAAAACAAAACAAAAAAGAAGCAATTTCTAGTTCGGCATTGTACCATGTGGCTATAATCAATGTGGGATGTAGCAAATCTTTATAAATGAAAATGCAGGTCACTGATTGGCTTATGTCTTGGACTGACAAAAGGTTCATTGAATTCCTCCCATCTCTTCAGAAGGAGCTTCTGATAATAAGTGTGGACCAGATTTAAAATAGTTTAGAAACTCTGTTAGCAGCTTTTAGTGAGGCACACTGCCTTCTAAAACTCTCCTTCTCCTTTACCGGATGTTCAGGGAGAAGGGAAAAGGAAGCTTTAGGTGAACTGATAGAGGAATGTAAGGAGATGTGGGCTATATCTGGTCTGAGGCTCAAGGGAGAGCTTTCTTTCCTAGTATTTTGAAACATATACACTTGGAGAAACAAAAATCCATGCAGGTTTGAAAAAATGGAGCATGATTTATTTATACGTGAAATTTAAAGGGAGGTTCAATTTAATGTAATTTATCTTTTTTGTGGACATTTTGAAGGTAAAAGGACATACATTTCGCAGACTTCAGGGTGAATTTCCTCAGGGATATTTAAAAGCCAGCATAAATATTTCAGCAGCAGTGTGTTAATATTACAGCATTCAAAAGTTATAAATTTGCTGGAAGTTTTAGAAGCACTATCTTGTGTTAGGGATCTGTTCAACTCGGCACAACTGCCACTGAACACCTTAGGTTATGGAAGCACTATCTTGTGTTAGGGATCTGTTCAATTCAGCATAACTGCCACTGAACACCTTGGGTTATAAAAGGGAATGTATCCAAGGTAGTTCATTCAGATGCTCCTTTTTTAAGTTTCCAAAAAGAAGAAGAAAACAACCCAAATTCAAATGGATGGGGAATTTAGCCACTTCCTTACCTAGCTACTCCAGAGCACCACTGAAAAAATATTTGCTTCATTAGGGTTTATATCCCAAAAGGGACATCAGTATGCTCTTAGTATCACAGAGTTAGCATGTGGGACTCAAAGTATGAATTGTGAACACACAGGCACAGCAGAGATAAGTCATCCATAAGTGCTTACAGGTAGACTGGACTAATTTAACAGACATTTTTGGTGGATCATCTCAAATAAGTAAAGCTAGGAGTTCCGATGATTAGGCAGCAGTCCTGCACAACCAAGAAGAGACTGGGGATGAGATGTAGTTTCATAGCATATCTCACCTGAGGCAGTGATGAGCATTTTGAGGGCAACAGGCATTACCATAAAGAGCTGCATATCTGAATTATCATTGACTCAGATACATTCTGATTTGGAGAGTTAACCACTGTTTTTTACTTATCAAAAATTTCCATTCCAATCAAAACCCAAGCTCCACCTCAAAGTTTCAGTAAGACACTGAGGGACCATTGAAGCCAATTCAAGTTGCATATCGATGGAGAAGGGTAGAAATTTGCCATCTGGTTGCCTCATTGGAGTGGGGGGGGAGCGGGCCGGAGGCCGCAAAGTGGGCAATTTGTTGAGGGTGTGGTGAATTGCACTTTTTTCTCTGAGCACCCTCTCATCTCCAGGAGCAGTGCTGCCATTTTCTTCAGCACCTCGTGCCTCTGCAGGCTAAAAGTCATCCTTTATGAGTTGGCGTGGTTTGGCTTTCTGGTCAGGTCACATAATCCAACCACCTTCTGAGTTACAACAAACTCAAATACAAAATATTCCTTGCCCTTCTGGATCATTAACAACTAAAATGGTCAGGGCTTAATTCCCTTTCTGTGATTAATTAAGCAGGGGGCCTCCCATATTCCTCTAGATTGTAGTGTATAAGGAGGAGCCACTCACAACAGAGTCCTTCTCCCTCTCTTGTACTTTCTTCTAGCTTCTGGAAAGATTCTTGCTTTGACATGGCAGTCAGTACCAGAGGGCAAAAGTCCTTCTCCCTCTCTTGTACTTTCTTCCAGCTTCTGGAAAGATTATTGCTTTGACATGACAGTCAGTACCAGAGGGCAAATGGAGAAGGAAAGAAAATGGATAGTAAACAGGCCTTTATATATCTGCCTCTGTAGCTCCGTCCACAATTTACATCTAAAAGAAACCTTTATTGAAAAAGAGTTCTGATGAAGATCATGTAGAAACATGACCATATCTCTTTTAGAGGAGATACTGGAAATCCCAAATTATTTCTTTCTTCTTAGACTTAAGATGTTCTTTCCCAGATTTAGGAATAACTGAAAGTACAGCTTCTCTTAGAATGTGTGGGAGAGTTTGCTCACTCTTGGTGTCATTGAACATATTCATTCATCCAGATGTTAACTTTCAGAGAACTTTGTGTAAAATTCATGTGCATGTGCTTTTCCAGTCCTAGCAGACCAAACACTGCTGTCTTTCTCTGATTTTACATCTTTGAATGATTAAGCTGCTCCTTCCTCCTGTAGCTATGTGGGAACAGCCAGCAGACTTGATCTCCTACAAGTCTGAAGAATGATATCTTCTGCATAGAACTGTACATTGGCCTTTAAAGTCTTTAGTATGCAAGATCTGAGACAGCTCAACATGAACTTGAGCTAGCCTGAAACATCAAGTCAATGTGCAGTCATAGAGAAAGAAACAAGTGAGCCAATTAGCCAAGCAAGGGAAAGTGGAAAAGTGGACTGCCTGGGTGGGTGAAAAAAGGAAACCTAATATTGGAGAAGCTATCCAATCACAGGATTTCTACCCAAGATCAGGGCTGTTTTGTCTGGGAATGGCTCCCAAAGTCACTAGATGATTGGAACTACAAAGAGGCAATAAGGTCAGTGGGTGGGTATGGCTCAGCACATCACACGAGCTCCTAAGCTTCTGAATGCTTATCTAAACACAAACGTTTGGAGTTTCAACCATCTCTAGTTAGTTCTTTTTCCATGTATCCACATTCCCAATGATAATACGTTAGTTGGAGTCTCATTCAGTATCACTCCAGGAAGACCGGCAGATCTCCTAAGGATTCACAAAATTTCCTGTTAGAAAGATCAATATTTAATTAGAAATAAACTAAAATATACTAGCTGTAACTGTACTTTCAGAATTCCTGCATGGTGCTGGAGAGGGTTGGTCAATGTAGTTGTGATTCACTGATTTTTACTTCCAAATTGTTTAGCAGGACAGGGAAGGAGGGAGGGGCATGATGGATGGTTCAAGTTTTCAATACTGGCCTTTTTTATTTTCAAAAACTAACCAAACATCCCAATATTAATCCTCTCTTGTTTCCTTCCCAAGGGTTCTTTAAGCGATGCTGATGACCCAAGCACAAGCATCGGGGCCTATCATTATATGTTGGAGTCAAACATCGGGAAAACTATGTTAGAATTTCAGGTATATAAAATTATGCTTCTTGATTTATTCACTTTTGAAAGTTAAGTTTAAAGACAATGTGAAGGGTAGGCAGGCTGATGTCAAGAAGGAACTCTCAGATGCTCTGTCCATCTGGTCAGTTGCCTTGTTCTCTGCTTTCCCTGGTTAGCAGCCACATCTTTTCAGGCTTGGTTATCTTTTTTCATAGAAATGCTATATGTCTTCACTTTGTCTTGCTCATAATGCCCAAAAAAGGAAGGTGCTTTGTCTTCTGTAAATCAAAATAGCTGAACCTGAAAAAAAGAGCTTTGATAAGGAAGAATTACGGTAGCTGTAGAATGAAGCAGGCAAGTGGAAGTAGTGAAGTACAAAATTCCCCAAGCAGGAAAGAGCTGTATGGACATCCCTCAAAGGCCTTTTGAGCCTGTTTGCATGAATCCAAGCTTATGAATCCAAGATCTGTGATATCCAGTTGTTACCAAGGTACATCACACCTTGTTAAAGATAATCAAGTAAGATTGATAAACACTGAAAACCTATGTGTATTGGCTCTTATATAAAATAGGCTCTTGACATTAGTAAGAGTGGGTAGACACTCCCAGGACTTGACATATTAAACCAGACCTTCCAAAGTACCACTACATATGGAACAGTTAATAATCATGCACTAATTAGTAGAACTTCATCACTGCATACGTTTTTCAGCTTAATTGATTGCTGTTTGAATATATGTTGGAAAAATGCTTTTTAAAAACAACACATTTATAAATTTCAGGAGGGGTAGCCCATTTAGTTTGCAACAGGAAACATTTTTAAAAAATAGTCTAGTAGCACCTTAAACACTAACAAAACATGTAGATGGTATCATGAGCTTTTGGTGCATTTTGCCCATGAACGCTCATGATACCATTGACATGTTTTGTTAGTCTTTAAGGTGCTACTAGACTATTTGTTGTTACATTTATAAGTGTTTGTCAAAATAGAAGTATGGTGGATGCATTTCAGTTGAGGGCTCAGCACAGAGTAGCAACAATGAGGAAAGTTAAATTTAAGATCAAACTTCAAATCTGAGTGACTAAAAGCCATAAAAACAAATGCCAATTATCATAAAGTGGCTATTATAGAAGAGACCCTCCTTCCATCCAGATCTTTGGTGTGTGCATCTTCTGATTCCCGTTCATATCCTCTGTAGTTCTGTATTCATATTCAGTATTCGGTGAATGCTGATAGCAATTATCCAGATGATTTTGTTTAAAACTGAGTTTTGTTCTAATCCCTAATTAAAAGTGGCAGTTGTCTTATATTGAATTATTGAAGACTATACCTTGGGAACTAACCAAAAACTGATAAGGTCTCTGCATTTCGATGAACAGTAATATTCTTTATTTACATATATGCATTCCTATAGAAATTCTGTGCTAAAGACAATGCAAGTATTCTACTGCTTTAGCACATATTGGGAAGTCAGAAATCCAGCACTGCACGTCACATTTGATTTTACCATGAATAGCTAAATACTGTCTAATGTAGTGTATAAAGGGAAAAATATTCCTATTTGAATGCCTGGTGATTGGAAGGAATGGTAATTATCTATTGTACTTTGTCAGCTAGTCTTTGCAACATTATAGTCTAGTCTGAGAGATGTTGTCCTTGAGTAATGCCTTCAAACATTTAAAATATTGGAGAGCTAATACAATCTCCAGGCAGATCTGTTTGTTCATATCCTTCCAAATACACAAAAAATATCTAAAAACCTCATGTATAAACATGATTCCTTTAGCTAGGTCTCAATAAATATAGAGCTATATGAAAAGAACATGTTTATGGGATGAGGTTTTTAAAATGACCCCACTTATTTTTCAAATTATTTAATTTATTATTTATTTCCAATGAAAAATAGACTAGGAAGAAGAGTATGTGTATCTGAATCACCAACTGACTGTAATTTAGGGCTTTTTTTTTTTTTTTTAAACTGTTTATGAATCAAGACTAGTTCATGCACACTGCCTCTGAGCATTCAGATTTATCTAACTGGGACAAGCAAATACATAAGTAATGTAAAAATAATATTCAAATTAGTGGAAAAGGGAAATGACTAACCAAATGAGATGGCACAACCTCACTATTACTCTGAGATGTGAATTTTGAACTACATATTTCAAGAAGCCCAAGCAGTGGGCTGAGCTGTACCCTGCCTATAGTAAACTTCAGATTTGGTTTGGTCAACGAGCAAGTGAAGGATACCAATTCAAATTAAAAAAAAAGAAGAAGAAAAAATGAATGATTTTCCATTTATTAAGATTAACAATTGAGGAAGGGTGAGATGGGATTAAATGACATTTCAAAGTTATTGGCAGACCTTTTGCAACAATGAGAATACCTAATACCTACAAGAATTCACAACCTCTAATGTCTCCGTCTTTTGGGATTCCCATTTGCATTTTCTCCCTCTCTTAATACTCAGAGGTGGTTATTAACAATGATTTAAATAAAATCAATCTTTAACAATTGCGTAAAAAATATCACTTAGATAAATAAAGTATCACTATACATCTTTTACAGATTTCTCTTCAGTTATGCATGTGGGACCACATGCTATGCTTTTAGCTATAACATGTGTTTTCAAATAGTCCTTTTTCCTTAAAAACATCTCTTTGCAAGACTTTTAAAACCCCTCTTTTTGCATTTTAGCTTCTGTCACACTTTTAGATGTAGTTTTCTTAATTCAAAGGAGTTGATACTACTCACCAGACTCTGGTTTGTGTGTTAAAGGCCACATACTACATCCTCTGTCGGGCAGGGGGGTTCTTGGCTCTCGTAATAGAGACTTGGTTAGGCCCCTTTCTAATTATTCATGAGTCAGCATATTGGGGTGGTTTTGGTTAACATTTAAATTGCAATGTCTCTTTCAAAGATCCTTCATTTCCCTTTTAGCAGGTCCTGTCACAATTTTTTTAACACCCACCTCTCTCATCTTTTGCCTGTTTTATTGAATTTAATTTTTTTTTTTTAAGGGTGGGGATACTCTTCAGGCTCTAGTTTAGGTTTCCTGGCCTATACATCGAATCCTTTTGGTTTTCCTCATTAGGAAAGATGGGCCTTCCCAGGAGGGGTCAAGTGTTGGATAGGTTTAGGCCATAACATTTCTGGTATGTATTAATTTCCAGTACATCATCTCCTGTGACATTGAGGTAAAGTGGGACTCCCAGTTAAGGCGAGATTTGCAGTGAGATCATCATCTTTATCTCCATCCATCAATCTAACTCTAATGTTTACTAAGCCCAGGGCCCCAGTAATGTGTCTTCAAAGCCAATAAAAAGTGCTGTCTGCTCCCACAATAAACAGGTCTGAATGATGTTTGCTAAATATGTTCCAGGCATTAGTACGGATTTTACAGAAGTCCTTTGTATGCATCCTGGAGCTAACTCTCTCTGAGGCCTTTAGCAAGTCATTTAACCTGCTTGCTAACTTTTTCCATCTGTAAAAATGAGGCAATCACATTAGTAATAAATTGTGCACACTAATGCACAGGTCTAAAAAAATTGCTGACCTGATGTATCAGGGCAAAGTTTACAAAACAAAGTTTTTAAAATTAATCTAATTTAGCTTTGTAAAAGAAACAGTATTTAGAAGTAAAATTCTCCACATGCTCTGCATATAATGTGGGAGCCAAAGATAGGCTACTTTTCTCATATGTAGTAAATATTGAAACAGCGCCTCAAAATGAGTTCAAATGTACACAGAGTCATTTAGTTTAGCTTTTGCCCTGTTAGTTAGGTAAGCCAAGCTCCAATTTTAAATCTTTAACTGATCTATTCTTGTTTCACTATAAAAAACTGGTAATTTACAGTTTCCATTTCATTTTTATCTAAACAAAAGTCCTGATAATCAGTGATAATTTAATGGGGGAAAAGCATGTGCTGAAAAATTGATGTCCCACAATAGAAGTTTATTAGACACCAGTATTAACTTTGACATTGTGTTCCTCTTTTTGCCTACAACAGAAAATGTATCCTTGCTAAGTTATGTAACCCTATTGAATTCAAAGAGCTTTTGGATTATTGATAAATGTCAGTTAGTGGTGATATACTTCTGCTCCTGTTTGGTTCATGAGAGAGTGTTAATTTTAATTTTAAACAATGAACAAAATTTGGTTTGGGGTGGTGCTTTCCATAGCAGTATCACAGTGTAAAGTAAATAGTTAGACTTGTAATGCAATCACTATGTAGATGAACAAAGGTATTCTACTGTGGTTTCAACAATAGTTCACACATGTTGGGACTATGAAGGGACTGAACACCATGAAGCTGGTGCTTCTTGTGGGACCCTAAGTGCTCTCTATCCTGTGAGTAAAGGCCGAGCTTTTAGAATCTAGACCTAGAACCTGTACAATAGAGAGTGGGAATGTTGTACACTATACTGGGATTATCGCCTGTTCTCTCTGTTCTCTGTGGAATGTGTAGCTTTCAGCTAGATGGCCATATGCCTTTCATTAATGCATTACACCCTTTAATGTGATTAGAGTCAATTTTGTTTCTTTATGGCATCACTTTTAGATACCTAATCTATTCAGTTTAAAAGAGCAAAGGTGATGCTTTTGAAGATTTCCATCAGTAATTAATGTGTTTTCATTCCACAGGAGCTGATGATAGTCTTTCAGCTACTGCACTGGAATGGAAGCCTTAAAGCCTTACGTGAAACAAAGTGTTCCCGTCAGGTAAGAGATTACAATCAGCTGTCACAGTGTGACTGGCGTATCCAACCAGGACCTGAGATTTAGAGAAGCAAAAACAAATGTGTGCAGAGGTGACCCTTATAAAGAGATTTAGAAAAGCAGTTTCTTCTGATGACCAAATAATAGTCTGTTATGCATTGACTAAGGTGAAAGAGAACAACCTTAGGTATAACTATTCTATTAGCCTCCTTTTGTTTTAATTCTTCTTCTTCAGTTATTTAAGGTTTGTGCTTACCGTTCCCATTTTAAGTATAAATTATGTGGATGATCCATTTACATTTGGTCCTCAAGTATCTACTGGAACATATATAAATATTTTCATGGCTTTTAATTTTTTTATTAAAATAATTATTTCAACAAAACACCTTCCCTTACTGTGCCTGAACTCCAAACCCTGCAGCACCACGATAGTGAAACTGACTGTAAAAAAAACGGCCACTGAAAACTAAAGTTATTGAAAAGATCTCTGCTTCTGATCTAGTGCCTAGTTCACCAATTGACACATGGAAAATTAGTTAGAAAATTTACTGCAATAAACTATAGACTAGATTTATTCTCATCTTCTGTTTTTGTAAAAATACTTGGAAGTGTATTTGCTTGAATGCGTTCATGATTACTTTTATTTTTTTTAATTCAAATATAAATGCTTCAAGATGATTCGTGAGCTGTACAGCAAATGTTATCCAAAGAGGAAAAATTCATTTTCAGACATCTCTGTTACAGTTATTTCTCAATGTACTTGCAAATATTAATTGCAGTATAAAGAGCCCTAGAAGATTTTGTATACAAATATACTTTCTAATTACTAACATTCCTTCTGGAAGCACAGGTGCCTGAGGTATTCTTAATTTCCTCCTCTAGAAAGGCAGTGTTTACTCAATGTAATGTATCGTTAAACAACTGCTATGTGTCATCTCACATGGGGTTGGATTTCACTGGTGGTTGACACAATCTCTGTGCAAGGTCTGTATATATGTTTCAGACCCTGATCTGACTAGAGTCCACAAGTTCAGAGTCATTACACAATGCAAGGTCTGTATATATGTTTCAGACCCTGATCTGACAAGAGTCCACAAGTTCAGAGTCAGATGTGTTTGCAGGTCATTACAAACATAGGCCTCAGTCCGTACACACACACGTTAAGAAGTGCCTGTGAAGTTGAGTAAATGTATAGATCTTTGATAGTGCCTGTGAAGTTGAGTAAATGTATAAGTCTTTGCAGGATTGAGTCTTATACTTGTAAAGAGCTTTGAGATTCTCCCTAGAGAGTAATGCAATACAGTGTAAAATTCTAAATTGTTTGTACAATAATTCCTTCAAAATCTTTATGGCATGTTAACAAAAATAAGGATTGTTTTTAAAAAATGCACATTATATGAAATATCCTAATTTAAAATTAAGATAAATGTTAAACTTCATTAGCTTCTTTAAGATAGCAGTGTTTGAAAGATACACATTTGCTGTTATATTCTGGAATACGTTGGCTAAAATTTCAGAACAGAAGCTGAGAAGTTCTATTAGAGCCTGTTTGACTACAAGGAGAATCATTATGTTAATAACTTATTTCTATTGTGAATTTCTTGGGTAATAGGAAGTAATTTCCTATTATTCCCAGTATTCCTTAGATGAAAGGATGAGAAGTCATATGGCCCTGGACTGGATTATGAAGGAACAAGAATCTCCAGGAATTATTTCCCAAGAGCTACAAGTGGCACAGAGAGAACTGGAGGAAGCCAGGAAAGCTGGACAAGAATTACGGTTTTACAAAGAAAAGAAGGAAATACTGAGTTTAGCACTAAGCCAGATCTACAGCAACCAAATTACCCCATCCTCAAATAATGATCAAATGGACCTGGCCCTAAGTGGCTATCACTAGCACAACCCTGTTGCTCTGAAGTAGGATTATAACACTGAACTCTAATTCTTGCCAGTTAGGTCACACATGGAAGTAGCCCATAGTCACTTGCATTTGCTGTTTTGTGTATTCTCTAGAGCCGAAGAAATCACATATTTGAAAGAAAATATTTTCAACTTCAGATCTAAACAGAAACAGTATCCCTTGGTCCATGAAGTGGTATACAAATGATGTATTAAAGCTAACTTGAACAGAAAATTGCTGCGGAAAACTTTGGTGGCATGTTAGTGATATACAATGTTGATCAGTACAAAATCTTCCTCAGTAAGAGAAACTAGTACAAAAATAAAGGAAATATTTGGTTACAGGTTTTGTACAGATCTTCTGATTGAAAAGCAAGGCATTACTAGTACCAGATGACATGAAGGAATATAGTGTGGTATACAAGGCCTGTCACACACACACACACACACACTCTACATCACCATTCTGGTTTCCTAGTGACAAAGCAAGCAAATAGTATTGCTGTTGTCTCTGTGATTTATTTTCTCTGTGTTACTGGAGGAAGATTCTTCCAGTAGCATAGACTATAAAAATAGTTCAGTTTAAACACAGCTATTCTGCAAAAGCCTCACTGCATGTACAACTATTTAGTACAGGTTGAGCCTCTCCAGTGTGGCACCCTCAGGAACTTTCTCTGTGTTACTGGAGGAAGATTCTTCCAGTAGCATAGACTATAAAAATAGTTCAGTTTAAACACAGCTATTCTGCAAAAGCCTCACTGCATGTACAACTATTTAGTACAGGTTGAGCCTCTCCAATGCGGCACCCTCAGGAGTTGACTGGACCATAGGAGGCCAATATTGTCTAGCAGTATTACCAATATTTCCAGTGCTGACTGAGCTCTGAGAAAACATTGAGGGGTAAATGAGAGCCAAATATCACAGAACACTCAGAGCCAGGGCTGGTATCTGTAAAACAACATGGGAAACTTGGTCACGCTCATGATAAGTGAACGTACAGCTAACTAAAATCATGCTGGACCACAGATGTTGCTGGATCAGAGAGGTTCAACCTGTAGTACAGGATTTTTGATCATATCTGTCTAATACTAGGTCTGCATTGCAATCCCAATGTAAATGCAGCTCATACAGACATACCCAAGCTAATCTGGGTACCAAAGCAGTAAAGCCTTGGCAACACAGGCTTCATTGAAGCCAAGACCCTTTCAGCCCCCAATGCTCTGGTACCAGAAATATCTAAATTAAAGCTAGCTCTGAGATGTCTACTTGTACTCATGGCAGTATAGACTGACCTTCGGTGTCTTAAATTGTATATTCAACTTGCATTTTTGCAATAAGAAAAGAAAAGCCAACTTAATATCAGAGTGGATTGACTTACTGTAAATTAGCTAATATAACACGCATCCAAGTATAACACACACTCATGTATTAATCGCAGTTTTTGTATGGTGTGTAAAAAATATATTAGAATATCTGCGGACGTACATAACCCGCAGAGACTTCTGCCACCTTCATAAAAGAATCTGGTTGTCTTTAATGTGGTTGCCACTTGCCAGCTATAAAGCTGCAGTATCGTAAGTATTAACATGTATTTATTTAGTAGCTTCACAGTAAGTAACGTTTTAACTTTTATTTTAATTTAGTAAACACAACAACATTGCCGCTCTTATTGAATTATTATTAAATCGAAGCTGCTGATTTTATTATGTTGATCTTGTCTTCTTGTAATAGGAGTAAAAATCAAATTGCATAAGATGCAGACCTATATACCCCACAGGGGGGAGAGGGCATGGTAGGTAAAAATATGGACAACTCGCAGGCTATATTCGCTAATTCACGGTATACTACATAAGAGGTCAGGTTTTAGAGTATTGTTAAAAGCCTTATTATAAACTAAGCTACTGGCATTTATGAGATCTGCAACTAATATGTCACCACCAAGAGCTTGATTCTATAGACCTTTTTTCCAGCAAAATCATCTGACTGGGAGTTTTCAATTCACTGATGAATTAGTGAATTGACTTAACGTAAACTGGTATTTTTCTTGTGTAAGAAGCACAGCTCCAATTTAGTTCACCCAGTGTTATAAGAATATGGCCATTAATACTTTTAAGGATCACACGTTTTGATATAGAAAAAAAGAATACTTTGGATAGTAAAATAATTAAGTAGGTGTTTTTCCAAAGTAAAGCGGAGTCCAAGAAGGTACTCACCTTGTGAAGTGAAAGAGCAAACCAGGACTTGTGCAGAAAGAATGATAGCGCTGCTGCTAGAAAACCATTCACCCTAGTGTATTGGTGATGGAAGCCTGTTAAGTAAAACAAAGTTCAGCTTCAGAGAAAAGAATCTTGACAAGATGTCAGTTGTCTTCAAGCTTTTTTGGGCAAGAACTATATCTATTCTGTTTGTACAGGGTCTAATATAGCTGGGCCTCTTCTCAGAAGGCCCCTGGGAACTACTGCAACATACTTGATAAATGAAAAAACTGAAACCTGACTCATTTGCTAAGATTTCTGGGAGAAGTTATTTAGTAAGGAGCAGTTTGTACTGGCAAGAAAAGACACTATCCATTTCTCAGTAATTCTGTTCATTTGTACTAGGAGCTTCCATAGGAGAATTAAAAAAGAAAACAGCTTCAAAAGTAGTACCTGTGATCAAAGTCTGTGCTGGGTAGCAGCAACAAGGTTTTTAAATGTTTTTCATTCTCAGTTATTTATTTTTGCCCCTGGAGAGAACCCTTAAGTGAAAACATCGCTGCTGAGAGCAGAAATCAATCTTATAGCAACACTTTGTTATATTAAGTTGAGAAACATATACCAATGCAATTAAAATTTCAGGAAGTGGAATCTTGCCAATTATGTCATTGAAACAAATACAAGATAATGGAAAACTATGAATTTTTAATTTATCTGGCTCATCAGGAGACAGACTGGGTGGCGTTCACACACACTCAGAACAAATTCAACTGTAATTAACTAAGCACTAGTGTCTATATTGGCATGTGCCACTTAGAAAAAATAATCTTCATTCAGGATGTGTTTTCAAACCACAATGAATCACAGAGTACAATGATGTTTTTACAGTATCAGTGAACGGCACATGCTTTATTTTATATTTGATGACAACTGTTTAAAGTCTATCCTGATATCCAAATGGATAGATAAACATCACAAACTATTAAACAACAGCTTGTAAATAGCAAAGGAATTTGGTTTTTATATTTTAAATGAAAAAAAAAACCAGTTCTACAGGATACTTACAATGGACTGAATTTGATTTTTTTGAAATTTTAATTTCTTTCTTTCAATTATGTGAGCTGTTATCTTCACATAGATAAATTACTTCATACTAGCCCACTGCATCATCTGAGATCCAGGATTTGGTGCAAGAGTCATTTTAAATTTACTTTGATTTAACCGTCATAAAACTAACACAGCATTGTACCCAGAGGAAATTGATGCTGACTACTTTCCCACTTCAGTTTCCCTCCAGTTCTGTCTGTCTAGTTTTTTCCTCATCACTAGCCTGACCCTGGGAGATTGTTTACTCTCAAGCATCTTGTACAATCAATTCTCATACTCAATGCTGTATTTCCTATTCTTAGTAGCACTCCTGCCACAACCAGCATTCCAGCAATTCATGCAGTCTCTCCAGCTTACCTTCAGGTGAGGCTTTTGGCTGTAGTCCCAATTACTTATGTTATACCTGTATATGAAACAGTATCTTTTCACACTGAAATGGTTAGTGCTGCCATAAAACATGCAATTGGTAAACTCTGGATACATAATTTATCTCCACTCTTCACTATATTTCCAACCTTCCCTTCATCTTATACTCAGGAGATATGTGGTTGGCAAAACTTCCAGATATTAACAATGTATTGAGAGACAGCCTATTGTAGAGTCTTCCACCATTGATCTATTGCAAATTAATGTTTCACCAGATGCTATGTAGCTATAAATAGTCATCTTAACTGTGTAACCATTCAGTTCTTTCCATGGTCCATTTTTAAGTAAACAATGCTCCAACTTTTATGGAATTCTAGCAAGCTGGTAAGGAAGGAGTTTTAGGAGCTATGAAATATTGCCCTCGTTATTCTAGTGCTTGAACTTTTACAAACAGAAGGAAGAGATGGTAAGCATAGCTTCTTCTCTCACACAGGGTTAAAATGAAGCAGATGGTTTAATTCCCTGATTAGAGCAGATTTTGTCTAGTTTATTCAGAAGAAATGACAAAGAATTTAAAGAATAAGAACAAAACTTCCTCCCCTTCTTTATTTCCATTTCTTTATATTACAATATTTCTGCCATGGTAAAGCTATTAGACAGGACTTAAGAGAAGGTATTAGCTTGGTGATGGTGGTTGTATTTACCAGCCATTTGTAAAAAGCCAGGGCTCCTTTGCTTGCACACCATTAAAAAGAGGCTTAAGGAGGCTCCGTCTTGCCACATGAGCCACTTCATCCCAAGCATTACTGTTCTTGCACATGTTAAATGTTGGGTTTGTAGGATCCAAAACAACTGGCCTGAGAGAAAAATAAGAATCAATTAAATCAATACCTAGAGGTGAGATCTAGAAATCCACAAACACACAAATGTAGCTCTGATGTAACTATATAACCAACCAAAAGCTAACCCACTGGCATTGGAAAGCAGCACTATTTGTAATAAGATGAAAAAAATCTGATGTTTCAAAAAAATGTCAGATGTATCCTGCTTGAAAGTAGAATAAAGCATGTTTTACTTTATATAGTCTATTACTACTGTATTATTGTCCTTAACAGGGACTTCTACCACTTCTCTCACACTGTCTGAGGTAATAAATTAAGCCCCCTCCCCAAAAGACAGATGCACTTTGTAACAACAGAAAACAAAGAAAGGGATGAACTTGATAATACACAGGCCATGAGGCAAAGCTGTAGGAGTGTGACCTTTTCATTCTTCAATCCCTTTTGATTTTAGAATCACATAGCATCACCTCTTTTTTCTGGTCATGTTACTTACTCATTTAAAAGGGACAGACACATGGGGAAATCTATGTAGCCCAGAAGTACTCTTATTCCTTGATTATTTCTTTAATGTTTTAAATGTTTCATAAGCAATAGAACTATTGATGCAGGATTGTTTGCCTGAACTTTATATTACAACTTAAACATACTCTATTCTCCTTATATTAACAAAGTATTAAGCCTTCACAGAATACAAAAAGACAGAAAATGCCAAGTTATATTTGTCTAAATGTCCTTAATTCTATCTCTAGTGTGTGGGGGGGTGTATATATACACACACATTACAATGCAGTTTTTATTATTACGTGATCACATTCTTAAATGATACAAGATATCACCATACAACTTTTTCTAAGTTTCAGAGGGGTAGCCAAGTCTGTTTTTTAAACTTTTTCTAAGTTTCAGAGGGGTAGCCAAGTTAGTCTGTTTTTTAATTTTTTTGCGTTACAACAAATGGTCTGGTAGCACTTTATAGACTAACAAAACATGTAGATGGTATCATGAGCTTTCGTGGGCACAGCCCACTTCTTCAGATGTCCGGAGCATTGGAGATCCAGATCTAAGAATAAATAAGGGAAGGAAAGGGGGAGGGGGATTTTGGAAGAAGATGAAGAGGACATTGGGTAAATAAGTTTCAAAGGGTTAGCTGAGCCAGTCTGTAACAGGAAAAACTTAAACAACAAATAGTCTATTAGCATCTTAAAGACTAAATAGTTAAAAGATGCAGATAAGAACCATTGATATGCATTAGGTTCTAATACAAGATTCTAATAGGAAGAGTTCTAATACCAGATTCTATACAGACATCAAGAACCATTGGCACTTTCATTGCATGGTTGGTTGATAATGGCGAGCCATCCAATATCGTGATGTAACCATTAGCGTGAGAGTTAAACTTGAGAATGAAGTGGAGTTCCAATCCTTCTCTGTGTATTTGACTTGTGGAATTGGTCTGAAACAAAGCAGCAACTTAGAGATCCCTTAATGAGTGCCCAGGAGGTTAAAGTGTTCCTCAATAGGTTTATGTGTGTTGCCTTTTTGGATATCTGATTTGTGTCCATTAATTCTTTCCCGTACTGTCCAGTTTGTCCAATATATATTGTAGTGGGACATTGCTGGCATAGATCACATTACTGGATGTGCAGTTAAATGAATCTCTGATTTGGTGGCTGATGTGGTTCTAAAGCATTAGACCCACATAGCAGCACAGTCTTCCATCAGTGTGCCAGTCAAGCAGAGCCCATACAAATCATTTATATGAAAGATACATAGTAATTGTACTTATGAGCAATACTACAGATTATCAAGCCAATGCAGACAGGTGGTATCCTATGACAGTAATAGTGCATGTGTAAAACTTGAAATTATAAGATGCTACACAATCTATGTATGTGACCCTTTCTAAAATGTATTCTATAACATATGAAATTGAGATTATGTAATCAAGTAATTAAAGATTAACATACATGCTAACAGCACATAATTGTTATTTATTATTTGTATGACCTTAGTACCAAGAAGTCCTAATCATGGAGCAATATGCCCTTGTGCTAGGAGATGTACAAAGAAATCTTAAACTATGTCATTTTCTGACATATGTTTAATCATGGATTCTCCATATTTTCTTAATACATCTTTTTGCAAGCAAAAAATCTATAGGAGTTTTTAAACTTATTACAACTATATATTTGTGTAATGGTAGCACCTAGGAGCCCCACTCATGATCTAGGACTCTATTGCGCTACGTGCTACACAAACTAAGTAAAAGCATAAACAAAAAAGAGCTCTGATAGCTTGCCAGAAGTTAAATTCCATAATTTGGAACATATCTGGATCTCACAGTAATGCCCTGTCTTATACATAGGCCTAGCAGAATTCAATTTTTATATAATGTTGGCAGATACTATTTATGCTTATTTTAAGCATTTTTGTAAATTATCAACTTAAATTTCATAGTTTCATGACATTATGGAGAAAGGTTCAGACAATTATTTAATGACAAACCATGAGATTCAAAAGGTAATGAAGTTTACTTGTTAAAACACAAATTCTTAATCTCATAAGCCGAAACATAAAATGTAAATATTCTTAAATCAAACTAACTTCTCAAGGATATGTTCTTTGTCTAATTTTTTATTATCATAGGTCAACTTTTTTTTTACCATTTGTATGCAGTGAAATCAACACTTACTAACATTTACTGATAATTGGATCCTTCCAAGTCCACTTATAGGTCTTTGAAGGTCTTCCGACAGGCACACTTATGACAACTGGAGTAGTAGAGTGCCTCAGGCCGGATGCACAAAGGAAGAAAATGCTTCTATCAACTAGTTACAGAAAATTCTCCCTTTAATATTTAGTCCTTTGTGTGGGCTATATACAGTGGGGTAAATTTCACTTTCTGTGTACAGTCTCTATCTATAATAGTAAAGGGAGTATCCATCTGTAAATAGGTTAATACACACAATCACTCCATAGTTTGTATCTCTCTTTAAAGAATGTTAGTCATATCTTAAGGGTATTTGCATTGCCTTCCATGAGTTATGGGGCCTCCTTTTCCCCATGATTCACTAAGGACTGAAGCAGAATTCAGCTTAATCTGTCGGGTGGGTATATTTATGACAGTGAACATTTTCCCATATAATTACCTAGTTTCCTTCTGAATCACCTTTTTGAAAATCATACAGTTTGGGCTGTAGTGTTTGTGCCAAACGATGCACATTTCTGTGTATCTAACCAGAAACTTCAGGATAGCTCTCATCCCTTGAACCAAGCTGAAACAGACTGGTTTCCCGGCCAGCTGCCAGATGAAGATTGTGATGAGCTCTACAGCATAGGAAGAAGGAAGTCTGCGAAACCTAAATACACAGAACACACACTTAGCACAGCACAAAGCGTACACAGGAAACTTACAAACAAAGTTCAAGTAAAAACAAACACTAGCAAGCAGCAAGTCATCTTTATCCTTTCATGCTCTTCATTATCCACAGTGCTCGTCACCAGCAGTGAGACCTCTCAAGTAGGCACTGAAAGGTTTATTTCAGTCTTCATAATAAAGAAAATTGATCAATAAAACGGAGAGAGCAATTTCTTGTTTAAGTTACAAATATGCCCAGATCAGGTACAGAATACCACAAAGACAAGAATATGCCATATATTCTACTGTGCAAGCTGAACCATAGATGCCGGAAGTCACAAGTCATAGCACAAGCTCTACGGCCCAATATACTCATGATGCCAACAGAAGAATTGGAACTATTTGTTCCCATCACAAATGCCTCTCATTACATTGTAGCATTGGGTGGAGAGAAAGAAGGAAAGAGACAGACCCTATGCCACCAAAACAGAAATGGCTTCAGTTTAAGGCCTCAATCATGCTCCTACTGAAGTAGAGGACAAAACTCCCATTTGACTTCACTGGTGCAAAAATCAGATTCAGGGGGAACGTCTGTTTACACTGCAATAAACCACCTGTAGTTCGCCCATGTCATCTGACTTATAGCCAGAGCCCTGTGAGCCTGAGACTATAAAATTATAGCTCAGGCTGGCAGCCAGGCTTTGGGACCCTATAATGACCCAAACAAGAGCCCAGGCACCAGCCTGACCATGAACAGCTACACTGCAATTTTTATAGCCGCACAAGAGATGTTTTATTGCAATGGAGACATATCCAAGGAACCTTGGTACTCTTTATGGGTATGTCGACCCTGCCATTTAAGCCCAGCATTCAAATTCAACTTCAATCATTAGAGTGCCTTAGGCTTTCATCTGTTTATAAACTATGCTAATTCAGGGCTTGGATCCAGGATCTGAGGGCCCCATGGGGATGGAGGGTCAAAGTCTGAGTCAAGCCAGGATCCAAGGTCAGGGGTGGGCAATAATTTTGGAATGGGGGCCACTTTACAAATTTTGGAGGGGGGCACAGCCCAACCCAAAAGGGGCCTCAAGTGGAAAGGGCAGAATTGAGAACTACCCTGATGGGTACAGTGGCCGCATTTTTTTTTTTAAACCAGCTGGAGCTAGTAAGAATGAAATTGAGAACTACCCTGATGGGTACAGTGGCCGCTTTTTTTTCTTTTTTTTTTTTAAACCAGCTGCAGCTAGTAAGAATGGTTTAATATAAATTATTAAACAGATTAAGTGTTTTAACTCTAATGTTAGTTTATCAAACTTCATCTTAAATAAAGTAAAATATTATGTCCAACACAAAAGGTTTCAATGTTTTCTTTATGGCAGGGGTGGAGAACCCTTTTTGGGTCGGGGGTCACTGACCCACAAAAAATCAGTTGGGGACCACACAAATGAGAAGCAAAAAAACTCCAATGCTCACTGATGTGGCCCCCAATTGAGACACCTCACTCCTCTGGTGCCCCAGCAACATGGGGTGAGGGGAAAGGAAGGTTCAGGACTGATGTTCAGGGCTTTCCATAGATCAGATTTACTTTTCTGGGGTTCTGGAATCAGTGGATTTTATGGACTTCCTTAGGCACTGGGGTTGGGACAAAAATTAGGGGTACAGTGCGTGAGACAGGGCTGCCAGCAATTAGAATAGGGATGGGGTGCAGGATCTGGGAGGGAGCTGGGGTGCAGAAGCAGGCTGGGAGTAGGGTAACTAGCTAGGTGGAGGGAGTAGGAACAAGGGAGGGTGCAGTGTGTGGCCAGGAGAGAGGATGCAATAACAAAGGAGGGTGTCAGAGCAAGCTGGGGTGCTGGGTTTTAGGAGGGAGGGAAGTGACGGGATTGGGGTGGGTGGTTCTGGGCATGAGGGGCTTACCTGGCTTCATGCCCCCTTTCAGCAATGGCTGCAGCCATGCTGTCCCAGATGCCCCAGAGGGAGGGTCCGCTGCCGTGGCAGCCACACAGTCTAGGGCCGGCCCTGGAGGCTGAAGGCACCATGTCCACAGAGGTCAGAGGCACCGCTGCTGCGGCCGCGGCTCAGTCCCGGAGGCCAGAGGCCCCGCAACCCCAGAGGCTGGAGACACCGCTGCCATGGCCACAGGCAGGGGAAGCTGCTGCTGCAGCCACGCAGCCCCGGGCTGGCCCCGGAGGCCAAAGGTGCCGCTGCCACAGCCATGCAGTCTGGGGCTGGCCCTGGAGGCACTGCAGCCACAGGCCACCCCGGATGCACCACAGCCTAGGACCAGCCCTGGAGGTTGGAGGTACTGCTCTTGGGCCCAGCCCCAGAAGCATCATGTACCTCCAGCTTCTGGGGCCGGCCCTGAACTGCATGGCTGAGGCTCAGTCCTAACAATCCTATCTGTTTACTGCGGTGTGGACTTACCTTGTGGACTTAACCCAAAACCCAGTGAAACCAATGGTCTGGGTCCTCACTAGCTTGTATGGGCTTCAAATGAGGTACTAAAGGAGCAAGACATTCTTGAAAGGGCTAGCAGGGCTGACAGCCTGGCTGGGCCCTTGGGCAAGGTAAAGGAGGGTGGCTACTCCATGCCCCCAGAAGGGGAGGGCCTGGGGCTGAGGCTAGGCCACTCTCAGAACCACCCAGAGAGCAGTGTGTCTTCCCCAGGCATCCCTCAGGGCTCCCTGGAGCATACAGCAGCAGTTCCAGGCCCTTTTGTATCACTGAGCCCTGGGAGAGCTTTCCCCCCATTGGCAGGCCTGGAGAGGGCGAATTTCTGAACAGAATGGGTGTATGTCTTGGTAATTTTGGACTTTCATACATGATTTTGTTTCTCATTATTCACAAGAGAAAATATTAGATGGCACATCTGAATCATAGAACCCATAGCAATCAAAGTACTATACTGCACATAATGCTCTTAAATGAACACATCCACTGCAAAAGTGTGACATTTATTGCAACTAATGCATTAGGAGAAATTTATTCAATGCTGGCCAAGTATCTATGATAAACAAAGTTTCTACTTCTTGCAAACATGAGGGGAAATGGATTTAACCCAATAAGCATCAGGGGGAAGAGGGCTGTCATTCTTTCATTGGCCAGTATTGAACCATAGGTCTTTGCCATGTCTATAATCTATTAGCTCATCTACTCCATACAGAGTAGTATACAGAGATAAAGCAAACAGCAGCAATGTAATTCATGATTTTTTTTTCATATCACACCACTATCACTTTCTCAGCCACATGCAAGATGCACCATCTCACATATCAGCTTTCCTCAGCATACACAACTTTCTCAGCACCACCTAAGACTAGATGCACATTCAGTACCACAGGAAGATCCTAAATGCCCTTCCCTGCACCATTGAGAACTACTGCAGCTGGCAGCAAAGGAAAGCATAAAGGCCCACTGGGGACTTCAGACCCCTGCCAGAGGAAGCAAACACACTGAATCATATTACTGCTCTAGGCAGGGGTGGCTGTTTTTTGTGAAAAAAGCAGGCTAGCTGCAGCCCCCCTCACCCTCCACCCCCTTTGGTGAAATGTTTGCAGCTGGTGGTTTTTTTCCCATGAAAAACTTGACGTGAATCTGGCCCATATGAAAACGGCTAAAGGGGAAAGAGCTGAAATCAGTGATGACTCAGCAAATTTGAAGTTCAGGATTTGTGTGACCAATCATCCCAAGAAGTGAGGATGATCGTGTTCACATCAGAAATGTGATATAACCTATGACCAAAAGGTTTTTACAAGTGCAAAGGCAGAACTGAACAAAAGGAAAGGTAAAATAAAGGAACTCACTTTTTGAAGCCTCACAATAGATTTGATTCAGATAGAGCTGTCCAGACATCAAAATCCAGATCCAACCTACCCCATACTTTGGGAAATAGCTACCCCATGTCTACACAAGCCACACGTTATTTCAAAATATTTTTTGAAGTAATGGGTGCACTATTTCGCCAGCCCAGTATACCTCGTTGCACGAGGGATAAGGGATGGCTCAAAACAGCCCATTATTTTGAAACTTGGTGCTGTGTAGATGCACCAAATTTCAAAATAAGCTATTACAAAATAGTTTCTAAATAAGATACACAATTTGCATAGCACAAATTGCATATCTTATTTCGAGTTTAGGGTGCTGTGTAGATGCACCCTAACTGACTTGCCTCAGGTCACACAGGAAGGCTAGAGCAGATCTGAAAATTGAACTAGGATCTGAGTTTGGGTCCAGAGTGTTAGCTACAAAACCATTCTTCCTTCACTTTACTTTCCAGAATGTATATTCTACCTACGCACTGTGTCATTTTTTCAGAACAGTAATTCAGAATTAATAAATAAGTAGAAATTACTTATTGGAAAAGGCTTGGCTCACTTTTTTTCACTGGTGTGTGCCAGATTTCTACTCTATTTGGTTGGAAAGTTTTGGGAAAGGTTTGAAAAGTTCACCAAGGCAAACAGTTGTAAAAGCTGCTTGTCAGTCACACAGGTGGAGAGTCTTTTTTCCCCAATCAACAGTGAGTCACTTTAATTGGGAAAAGAGAACAGCACAGCTGTTCAATATTTTTTCTTCCTCTCCATCCCCTCCCCTATCCCTGAGTGCCCTCTAGCAAGGTCACATTCTTGTTCACTTATAAAGCAGCCATTAAGAAATAGTTGAGAAGCATAATGCACACAATATGTAAAATCCATCATACAGTTCTCCCTGTTGTTCTTTCATCAAGAATATATGGACGTTAAAAGGAAAAGAGGCTCAGGTGTTATTTACATACTTGTTTTGTGCTGTTGGTTTAGCAAATGAAGTCCTGAACCAGTGCTTCACTAAACGAATCAGGTCTTTCACCCTCATGGTAGATGTCTTGATAAACTCAACCTGGTACTGCAGCAAGCACATTGAGTACATCTGGATTTCATCAGTGTCATTACAGAGATAAAGCTTGCGATAAAAGCTCTGTTTTATACCTGCTAATACCAAGAAAAGGATAAGACTGTATTCGCTAATATTTTACTTCTTTGTTTTAAATAATGAGACTTCATAACAGCTACAAAATATTGAACAAGTCCATAACATTAACAAGCCCACTTCATGTCCAGATTCAATCTATACCAAATTTGGTGATATACAAAAACATTCAAGACCCAGTAATGTTGTTAGGAGAGTATTATGTTTAACACACGTTTACACTTCCTGTGCAAGAGATTATCCAAAAACTGCTAGATTGCATACATGCTTGCACGCTCTCCCTCTCTATTTTCTGGTTGATCACTGTTATTTGTTCTGCATATATGTACATGGACAGACACATGCATGATTAAAATAATGCTCCCCTATTAGGAAATTCCTGACTTTGGCATCTCCATTTTAGCTCATTCCACAATCTTTAGAAAAAAGGGGATGTTATTTTAAAGTAAAAAATTGGGGACAATTTAAAAAAAATACATAAAATGTATTTTTAAATTGTACACAATTTTTGCACGATGCACACAGTTCTTTGGTCTGCATGAAAAATCAATTGTGAACAATTAGTTGTGACTGTCTATTTGCATATTTTTCATAGATTCAGAGATTCCCAGGCCAGAAGGGAACATTGTGATCTTCTACTCTGACTTCCTGTACAACAAAGCCACAGAACTTTCCCAAAATAATTCCTAGTGCATCTCTCTCAGAAAACATCCAAGCTCAATTAGGAAATTGTGAGTGATAGAAATTCCACCACAATCCTTGGTGAATTACTCCAATAGTTACTTACTCTGGTTGTTAAAAATTACACCTTATTTCCAATCTGAATTTGTCTATCTTTAACTTGCAGCCCATGGACTCTGTTATATCTTTCTCTGCTAGATAGAAGAGCCACTACTAAATATTTGTTCCCCATGTAGATACTTAGACTGCAGTTCCCTTAACCAACTCTTTATTAAGCTAAATAGATTAAGCTCTTTATTAAGCTAAATAGATTAAGCTCTGAGTCTGTCACTATAACACTTTCCAATCTTTCAATCATTCTCCTGACTCATCTCTGAATGGTCTCCAATTCATCAACATCCTTCTTGAACTGTGGGCACCAGAACTGGATGCAGAATTTCAGCAATGGTCACACCAATGCTAAATATAGCAGTAAAATAACTTCTGTATTCTTATGCAAGAGTCCCGTTTATGCCTTCCAAGATAACATTAATCCTTTTGGCAAACTGGGCATTCACATTCAGCCAATTATCTGTCCCCACTCCAAATCTTTTCCAGAGTCACTGTTTCCAGGGATAGAGTTCCCCATGCTGTAAGTATGGCCTATATCCTTTCTTCTTACAGGTATATAGTTACATTTTGTCATATGAAAAACACATTGCTTGTTCACAGTTTATCTGTTCAGATCACTCTGAATCAGTGTTATATAATCATATCTGATTAACACATACATGCACGTGCAGATATTGCACACTTGGCGTATGTGTACACTGCAGTTGGAAGTGTGATTGCAGCTCCTGTAGACATACCTTCCTTCACTGTGTTCACCAAAAATAGTGGCAAAGCCATATAGCACACAGGTAGCAGGAAACAGATCAGATTACAAGCCCCCAGAGGCCCTGGGCATATACCTTCATGGCAAATTTGTGCTGTGGCAGATTCATTGCTACTATTAGCTAATAAACTCATACCTCCCAACCGCAGCATAGACATACTTACGATGATTCTCATACATCTAAAATTGTTTAGAAGAGATACAAAGTGCACATAGAAATACAATAGTTACTTTATTAACTAAGTAAAGTAAGAATGGCACAAATTAAACAGTGTATCTGAACACCTAGTTTATTAGCAGATTAAAAAGTTTGATGGTTCCTGGGCTTGCGGGAAGGCGGGGAGAAGAGAAAACATGTGTATGTATGTTCTGGGAGTGGAAAGGGAAGATGCCTGGAGTTTTAAAGCGTAACAGTCATAAGCTAGTAATGAGGCAAAGGTGCTGTTTCCCCCCAAATTCTGCAGTAGACTGTAGTCTGCTGAGACTACTGCAACCATCAGAACTAAAACAGACCTAAAGCCTGCATGTCACAAGGCACAGTTGGAACATTATGCAATTTATACAACTATATGATGGGTATAAAAAGCCATAAGTGGAATGATTCCCTGATAAAGTTCCCCCCAAAAGAAACCATTCATCCCCTACCTGTTGATGGTGTAGGCCCCAGAATGTCATAGCAAGGCATGATATCAAATGAGTGAATGTGGTGATTCCTATGGCACTTGAAATGAAACCGTAAGGATAATTGGGTCCTTTTTGCCATCATTATCCTAAAACAAGCGTTAGTTAAAAAAATATTACTAAACAGTAATACTGGGAAAAAAGAAGGGTATGAGGTTTCCAGTCCTTTCCACTATATACTAAGGATGGAGGAAGGTGGTTGGAAAGCTTCCACTCTCAGAAATAAGGGAATAAATCCGGCTGCATGTAAAAGGCCTCACAAACATCTCAGGGCTAAATTAACAATGAGTGTAAATGGATTGAATGCCACTGAAGTCAGCAAACTCATCATAATTCTTTACACGAGTTGCCCGACTGGCCCGTCACATTTATTTTATAAGGTTAGAAATAAACAACTCTTAGAAATACACATACTAATGTTTATTTAAGTGCAAAACCTCATTGGAAATGAAGATTGATTTCTCAAAATAGCTGGCATTGTAAGTGGCTTTGTCACATTCTTACTTTTCACACCTGGGTGGTAAAAATAAGAGGAAATGCCAAGATGACAGAGTACACCACCTGTCCATTAACTCCCCATGGAATGCTCCAGAATCCACTTCCTAAACACCGTGATCAGCTTCAACAATGGAACCCCATAGACAGCCTAATACAAGAAACCCAGTGATCACCACCTTCATAGATCCAGTAACCATACCAAGAAATCTGTTATCTACAACCAACCACTCTAATGCCACAGAATATGCTCTGAGGAAAAAGTCCAGATTACACATCATAACACACTCAAAACCACCTTCACCAAACAAGGACAAGAGATGATCATAGCATAAAATGGGCCACCCAAATATTCTAAAAGAACCTGTTTCATATAGAAATAAAACCTTTAACTGAACACTTCCAGATGTCACCTATCACCCTACAGTGGAACCCATAGAGGGTATTAAACAACCGCCACCCATATTCGATGGGACGCCATCCTGAAAAAAAAGTTTCCTGAATCCCCTCTTCTGGCCTTCAGACAATTCCCAGCCTACCCAAGCTCACCATCAGAAACAAGGTTCCCACAGACCAGGACACTCCAGCTCAAAGTAGCACCAGTTTCTGCCAGAACAGATGTAAAATCTACACACATCTCCACTGCTACAATGAAGTCCAGTCAAGCCAAAGTCACAGCTTTCTTATCAGCGTTGTTCAAGGCACGCATACCTCTGGGACACAGGGTTATTTTGCAGTCCTCAACAATGTGAGTCATAATTTGCTGTTGTCCCCACTGACATAGCGGGCTGTCTCAGACATGAAGTATGAAAGAGATGTGATTACAGGTCCCGGGACACCAGACATCACTTCATTCATTGAACAGGTATAACACAGGCAGTTGCAGTGCATGCTTCCACATTTCACCCAGTGTGCCTCAGCTCAGAACTGGAGGGGCTGCCTCTATAGACAAAAGGGCCCTGTTTCCATAGCTATTAAAGGCTTGGCCTCTCGTTCAAGACAGCCAATAAAGATGCCAATTACTCTCCATTGTCATGGTCATTCTTGGGAAGTGAGCACCTCTCCACTGGAATCTGGACAGGGGCCACAAAACATATTTCACAAGGTTGCCAATCAGCCACATTAGCATCAAGTCCCATCTATTCGGGATGGATTCACACCACTGACCCACAAGTAAAAGCCTCTATATATTATTGTTCAACCCCTACCCAGTCCTCCATAATTCATGCACCTCAATTCTCCCCTCTCATTTGTCCTACCACAATCTCATTACTTCCTCCCCAGATGGAATATTTAGGTACAGTTTCTGGAGTGACACTACGTTGGATTAAGAATACATATAAAAACAGGTTGATCTAAAATAGGATCCCAAATGCATTTTACCAGACTTCTTATGGGAAACAAAGCCCATGTGCATTTTGGGATGGATGGGATCCCCATTAGAAAAAATTATTTAGAGGACATTCTTTGGCTTTCATGCTAAAACTTAATTTATCACTGGAGATACCTGTGCACCACCTTACTCAAGCCCCAAATCCCCCAGCCTAGGAATATACAGTATATACCCTGACCCTACACAGCGGTCCCCTTAAACCTAGGTCTGCTGCTCTCAGGTGCTCCCATACCCTCCTCCGTCCCATGAATCACCATGTATCATGATTAATCAAAGCACAAATATACTTTGTATTTGTTTGCACAGTAAAAAGAGCATGTTTAGTCTCTACACAAGCTCACTGGGTTGAGGGAGGAGCAAAAAATACATCATAATATGGATGAACAGTCTGTATGCAGGTCCATCAACAGGAGGCGGAGGGGTAAATATGGTAAGTGCTCTGGTGCCTAGTGATTCTAAGGGGCACTGGGCCCTTTAAATTACCGCCAGAGTGCTGCATGACACCGGGTGGCTCTAGGAGTGGAGGGTGGGGAAAAGATGGGAATGTGTTAGCCATATTGCCCCACCCTATAATGATTGTATACATTTTATTTTCTGTGCTGTGTGTGTGGGATAACATCTTGAGATGCTGGAGCAAGTCAAATCCTTAATACTAACTAAAACACAGAGAATACACATAGCCATTGTGATCCAAACCTGCTGGACCATGAAGATTTCTTGAGTCTTTTTCCAAGGTCATCTATAACTTCTGGCAGTTTCTTTTTGCAGTCCTCTAGATTTTCAAAGGCTTTACTAAATAGCACTACATCAATATCAGACCAGTCTTGTGTATCAGTTCCTTTTACATACGAGCCTCCCTGGTATGTAAGAGATGTCAGAAAGATGATTAGCACTAGATTTTTTTTCCCTGTAAGCAGGACATTTTTGCAGTGTAGGTAAAGCAAGCATTAGACACCTTCTGTGATTTTTTTAGACTGTCTTGTCTACCTAATTGCAAGTAGGTCATAGTTTATATGTTAGTAACTGTTACTAAAGTGAGATGCAAGATGGTCCTGATCCATGGATCTCTCTCATGGGCTTTGGCTCAGGCCTTATATTAGTAACAGGTTTCACCGTGTTATACGTACTCTAGGAATGGAGTTGGATTCAACACCTAAATCACAAAGGCAAATCAAGTTTTCTTTATTAGGTGTTGTATATGGAATTAACCCAGTTTATGCCAGTATTGACATTGTATTCAACTATATTTTAGGAATGGAGGAGAAAGGCAGCAAGAAGCTTTTTTCAAATTTGGTATCAAAACAGTTTATTTTTAATGCAGAAGTGCTTATTAGTCACTCTAGCAGATTGTTGTCTCAAAAGTGCATGAGTATCGAATGCCTTCTCTTGATTTTGTTAAATACCTTTTTAACTAGAGCATATTTATCTATACACATGTAGAGCTCTGATTGATATAATTATTGTAATTGAGCATAGGGCCCAACTAGGAAACCCATACTCATGCTAATAAGTTCATCCTCATAAATTTGATACTAAAAGCAGTGTTAAAATAAAGCAGTGGCTGTACAGCAGGTAGGGGGTGTTCATAATCATTGGGAATCTCCGACTAGTTCCTAACCCATACCAGTTTGCTACAGAAAACTGCTACTAATTTCTTAGCAAATAGGCATTAGATGGAATGGGCATGGAGGTCGAATTGCCCTCTTACGTGGTTCTTCTAGAATAAAGTTCATGTACAGTGACAGGTGGTACAGAACGTTGGGACAGCTATTTTTGTACAACATCAGTCTTGTGGGGATATTTAGTCTCGAGGGTTGTCACTTTAGAACCTCTGGAGAACTAAATGAGCCATAACCTGCCTTAAAAATGTGTACATCCAGATTTACACCATTAATATAATTGGTCTAAAAGAGCAATTACATCTAGAGGAAAGATTCACTTCATTATGGAAGTTTGACTCATATTGAGATGTAAGAATCTAGTGGATTTTGTCCTTTAATGCTAGTCTTTTTAAAACATCTGTATGGGGGATTCAAACCTTAATCTAAACCAAAAGGAAATTGGTGGTTTAGGAGATACTCCCACTGGACTCTCAGAAGAGTAGAGGAGCTTGTGGTACATTTAGGCTGCAACATCTTGATTGTAGAGGGAGTGACAAAAATACTTTTTGTTGATCCGCAGTGAAGAGAGGAAATAGTGTTTACCTTGATTAGACGAGCTACTGGTAATGGGAAACATTCCTTGATCAAATTAATAATTGCCTCTATTTCTGTTGCACAGGCAATACTTGCAGGGCCTGGAATGGGTCGAAGCTTTTCTTCTATAAACCTCTCTAGTTCGGTTGGGTTTTTATAATCCACAATATTATCAGATGAAAATCCAGTGGCCATTTGAGCTGCCCAGAAAGAAAAGTCAAGTCTGATCACTAATTTGCTTGAAAAATTACTTGTTAAACAGCTCTCATTAAATGGTCATTCAAACCAAAAAAAATTCTTGTCCAGAACAGCTATGATTGTAACTATCACAATGCTATAAATTCCTTGCTTTCTTTCAATCAGATGTGGCAGGCAGCTAGTACTCAACACCCCAGGACCTACATCAATGGTGTGGTCTAAAGTAAAATATCTTTTGTATAACTCATGAAAGCCGGACGTGTTTTCTACTCCACTGACTCTAAATCTGCCTCCTTTCTTTTTATCTTCACTGCTAAAACCCTAACACATACCTTTTCTCTCTCTTCTTTAGTACAAATTCCTCAATTTCAGACTGCTCCCCCTTCCTTCAGTTTGTCCCAAATGTCACAGTTAAAATTCTCTTCCATAACCACTACATCATATCATACGATTTCTTTCTGGCCTAATCCCTAGCACTGGCCTGCCACTTCCAGCAACCTTGGAACACATTGCCTCTCCCTCAGAGAGTTTTGTCTCTCCAATAGGCCCAACATCTAGTGAAGGAAGCTATTGAGTTTCTTGCAGAGAGGGCATAGGACAAGTTCCTACTGGAAGGACACATCTCCTGGTGAGAGCAAGAAAAAAAAATGGGAAGATTGGATAACTCCCAGGAAGTCCCCAAAGGGGATTCTCTAAGGGG